TACCAGGGTGGTTACACTTGATGGTTATATATAGTAGAAGCGAAGACAAGAGACAAGTTCCCAAGATAAACATTTGACACCACAGGTCAAACTTTTATTATTTTTTCTATAATGTAACCATAGTAATTGTCTTTAGTTTTCAGAGCTCTCACTGGACTTTGATAGAAATATAGTAACTTAAATTAGTCTTATTATCCATAAATAAACATAAACATCCTCATTAGCACTTTGTTTGAAGAGGTGAATCATGATACTAATCGTTGTCCAAAAAAGTCATAGGTGCAATCCATTAATTTAAAACAAGTTTTCTCATTAAAAAAAATTCGGCACACGTGGTGGGACAATTGTGTTTGATTTGATGGATCCAAAATAGAAACAAAAAGAAGTTGAACTTAACCTGGGTTAGTGAAGGAGTTGGTAGACAAGTTTAAACTTGGCCAAGCAACATAAAATGTTATCGGAAAGCAATGGCATGGTTGATGAATTACCCTAACGAAACCTTCATTCCAATTTATAGTGGAGGATAACAACCAAGGAATGGAAGAAAACCACAGGTTCATGGGGGAGGGTTTGGATGGAATTGTTAGAATTTTAGGACAGACAAGGCTCAAATTGGCTTCTCTTAACGAATTATTTGAACCTTTTAGTTATACAACAGATAAACATTTGAATCAATTATTTGAAGTGGTCAATATAAACAAAATTTATTTTGATAGATTTAGGAGGTTTTGACCACCCCAGGTGTGAAATCAAGAGATTTGTCAATAGGTGGCACAATTTCAAAAACTAACAACACTACTAGAAATGCAAATCTTTCTCTCGCCAATGGCTAAAATGGCCAACCACGACAAGGTAACTCATCGCATTCAGAGACTAACCAACCACCCACTCGACATGGAAGTTGTGGCGATATTTTTTACCCCAGGGTCACCACTCACATAGCGCTATCACTAGTGAAGGAATTAGTCAAGACAACTTCTTGGTGCTTATATCATGTGTTGTACCTTTTAATGGGAAGGCTGGTGAAGATCCATTCAATGTGAATCTGCACGCTCGTGAGTCGAGATTTGAATTTCTAAAGTTGAAGTGCACCTACTTTAACCCTAACAAAGAAAAGTATATCGATGCTAGGCCTGTAGTACAATGGCTATGTCGTATTCTAAGTGAACCTTAGGCTTACTATTACTTCGCTCCGAACTACTATCTAATCAAATTGGAAGGTTGGGGGTAGAACTAACCTAACCTAACTAAAAACAACCAACCAATTGGTTGGGAGACCGCTAGAGATGAGATGGATTTCTAGGTTCGATTCCCTCTAGCTTTAGGTTGATTAGGGCTACAATCTAACGCCATTTTGAGGTGCGGAGGTCACAAAGATGGGGATCGACTCAATGGTCATGCAATCGACCCCCCCTCCTAGCTAGGTGCACCGGTACAATGTCACCTCAACTGGTCTACCCTACTAAGGATTTGGTTCTACCTCCTCTAAATGACTTATATCTGTCCGCACAAAAGTTGGGTAAGTTGATGGTCACACACTTACCCGACAAGTATCAACTAGGTGAGAATCTAACTAGAAGGAGATGTTCACCTCGACCTCTAGCTAGATCTCTAGGTGAACCAATCAAGGTAAGAAGCATTCACACACATCTAAACCTTGATTAGAAGCATTAAGCATCCTCTCGATTATACCATAAATTCATATGCAAGACAATGATAATTCTCATATCATCTAGGTTGCAACTAAGACAAATGCGATACACACAATCCCACACTAATTGATGTTTATGCTAATCTTGACCTAATGGGATAGAACTCTCACCTAGGTTAAGAACAAACAAATCACAATCAAGAAAGATATTCTTATGCACAAACATCAATAGACATAGATAAATTAGTCCATATTCACGCTTACATATGACCCATACACAAACTATAATTTAGAGTTCATCTTCCCTAAACAACCATATGATTAAGTCATAGATAGAGAAAAGAAATATAAACTAAGATGAGGGGAAATTCTTAGAATCATCTTCTTCTTTTGGATTGCACCTTCATCCTTGATCCTTGGATGGATTTCACATTTCCCAAGCTCTCTTAAGGTGTTTCTCTCTCTCAAACTACCCAAGAACCCTAATTTCTCAATTTAGGTCGGCTCCCCCTCATCAATAGCAGCAAAGGGGGGGTATTTATACAGTTCCAGTGAAGAATCACAGCCTCAATGGTGTGACCAGACCGTGACCAGGCTGTAATAGGCCAAAAAGGCGTCGAATCACCCGAAACTTTGCGATTTATCATTGTCTTCAAGTACCAAGATTGCAGCCTCCATCATGAGATCCCGACTGAAATTTCTATATTGCGGTTGAAAAGCCCCTTGGCCTCGAGTCAGGTGTCGAGACTTTCTTCCCTCTTGTTGATTGCTTGCTGAAGTTTGTTGCCACTGTTCACGGCCGTGAACATGGTCACGCCCTGGTCATGGTCGTATGCCGCCGTGACTTGTGTTTTTTCTTCCCTTCTTGATTCTATGCAATGAAAATGTGCACGGGTGAACTCAAAATAGATTCTTGATCGATTGTTAATGAATATAAGGCCTGAAATTTCATTACAAACACCAAGAAAGCATAAAATATGACAAAGGGGGGTTGAAACTTTTTTATCTTGTGGTTATATGCTTTTGTCTATGTTAATTATGTCTAGACTTGTCTTCACGTGATTTTCATGGTTGCCTACCTAGGGTTTCCATGAGATGGTGTGGAATTGATTTGTTTGGCATGATTGGGTAGATGAATGATTTAGGGGACCTATTGGTGGACGAGGTGACCATCCCCGAGTACTAGCTGTTATCTCTGCTTTCTTAAGCTAGTATTTATCATTTGACCTCCAAAACAAACCTGAACAGATCGACAAGATAAAAACAAAGTGAAAAGTAGTCTAGGGTATCAAAACCTATGGAATACGACCTTTGTCGACCACTATAATATGCAATGCCGTCTTGAGTTATACCTTTGCTCACATATCACATGGTTTATGACTCCAGTATAAAAAAAATCCATACTTCTCCATAATTATCTATTGTTTGTGGTAAAGCTGCTAAAGTATGTTTGCTTGCATCAGTATAACTCATATTTATGAATGCAATTGCAGAGTGTGGTGGAGGAGTATTGTTGTGTCCAGACAATGATGTTGTATTTTTCATTACCACTTTTCAACAAGTTCATTAATGCCTCTTATTCTTCTTTATGTAGGTTGATGCCTTCATTTTCATTTCCATAAGCATGTTTCATACCGCTAGCAACATTTTCTTTGTTGATATTTCGTTATCAAGCTCCTCTGCCACCTTTTGGAGTCATGCTTGGTAACCAGTCATACTAATGAGTTATGGTAGCAAGTGTCTTCTATAAGACCTTGCATTTTATGGTATGTGCATAAGGATCTTTGGTTACCTACTACCCCTGCTCCTACCACTACCTCTCATGTAACTGGTAAGATTTCTATTCCATTCACGTTTTGACTGATTTGGAACCCTTAATCCCAATGATTGTAAAGCCAAAGCTAAATATTCAACAATTTTACCCTTGTTTTGTGGGGTTCCAATGTTTTGCCTTACATGTTGTACTATTTTGTAAAACACTTTCTCCATGATTGGTAATGGATCTAAGAATAAGACATGTGATATAGGTGTGTTGCAATTCTCATTCAGCCCATGAAGAAAAGGCACAAGCAGGTTGGTCTCTTGGGAATATTTGACAGTGGTAATCACCTTGCGTGTGCTTAGTGTCACTACAAATGCATGTTGTTGTACTTTGATAATTCTTTAATTCTTCCCATATGGTAATCATATGAGTAGGGTATTCAGACAAGCTTCTACTTCCTTTCTTCATATTATAGAGTTGTTCTCGTAGTTCAATGATTCTAATCAAGTCACATTATGCACACCCAAGTTTGATGGTTTTCCATACATCTACTAGAAGTTTGGGTGCTTCAAACACTCTTCCCAATCACTTCATCAACAGATTTTAGAATTCATCTTTTCCCCATATTATTGCAGCTTGTCCAAGGCCAAGCCATAGCATCACCTTCTTCTCGATTAGTGATGCTTCTATCGATGAACCCTAGCTTGTTCTTTTATGCAAGTGTGTCGATCATGACATAACTTTAGTCATTGTGATTGGTTGATGTGATTTTTTGAGGAACAAGAACTTTCCTGTGGTATTCTAACCCATGGATAGACAATGTGTGTGATAGTGAGTATTATATAGCTAGACGATTGGTGTATCTAGAATCACCTCCATTGTTAGCTTCATAGTAGAATATAATCATGGTGTTGGACTTGATCCGCCATGGTTGATAGATCTTAGAAGAAGGAGGAGGAGGTAAAATGAAATAGGAAAAACAATGAGGAAATGGTAAGAACCCCAACCAAGCTCTCATATCATAACAAAAAAAATGATGAAATAGGGTTGTAGAGTTTCAACCTACTCTCTTCCTCTTCTCATTGATCATATATAGCTCAGCTACAATGCAAACATCCCGTTATTGCTAGTGAAAAACGTTTATGGTCTACATTGTTAGAGAAATAGAACATTCCTATGGTTGAGTTGTCCGACAAGTGAACCACACGTAACGTCTAGACCCTTCTCAACAGTCGGCGAAACAACGACGGTTGATTTAGCGATGATATATTCCTGCCTCCATTCGAAAAAACAGTTCGAGTATGTTGAATGAGGAAAGAAAAAACCGTGGTGATTTCTTATGTTAACAAGGCCCCCAAAATCAATTGGATGACCCTAAATCTGAATATAGAAATTGTAGAATTAGCTCTTCAATAGCCAAATCAAATCTCGCGATGGAACTTTTCATAAACAAAGTCACTCAACTTTCACTTTTTTCCTAACCAAATAATTCATGCCAGCTACCGTTAGTTTGTTGCCAATTTGGAGATCCGGCAACCAATATAGAGCAACTAAAAGAGCCTTACACCGTTACACGGAAGGGGAGATGATCGACTATAATTTCTTTCTATCTATGTGCTTGAAGAAAATGCTCAACAATTAACTCTCAGTCACACCCTGCATTCAAACATTGAGCTCGGCAATCGAACGACCATAAATGCAAAACCTTTATCATGGGAATGTAGCTCGTCCCATAAGATCGAGGCAGTTAGATCTTAACTAGCACAGGCTAAAATAGGTTGGAATGATCGATTCCTGAGAACCAGAAAGCTAGCGCCAGTCTACGTTAGTCGAGAAAGAAAGCTGATGAGTCTCGCTTAACGACGCTAAGACTGAACACTGATAACACATGCAGTATAATGAAACTGTTCCAAAGAGAGCGGGAAATACAAAACTCGGAGTGAGCTTCTGTTCATTGCCCAACAGAGAGTAAGCTAGCTGCCGAGCACATAAAACTACCCACATTTTTTTAGTGATCCCCTGAGTGCGGCTTACGAGCCAAGAAGAAGAACATTGGTGTGAATATCTCTTTCCTGCGATCAAGAAGGAAAACGAAACGATTCAGTTTGTGATTTGGGTACAGCGGGATTCAGTTTGTTTGAAAGGGGGTTGACACAAAAACATAACGCAGCCACGTCTTCCAATTCACCCGACCATTGTATGCAGGGATGAACAACATGTAACTAAAGATGTGTCATGAGTGTATAGTAATGTTGTAAGCAAGATAAAAGGTCAGCTTACTTTCCACCATCGACCAATCCCTCAGCAGCCTTCTCAAGAAAATCTTGAACCCTTTGACTTCCTTTTGGAGCAAGTCCTACATACTCGAGGGCCTTCACCTACAAGGTGAAATAGCATCCGTCGTTAGTAAGCGATGTGAACAGCTGAAGGATTGATGGTGAATGCACATCTTAGTTCAGGACGAACCACCATGTTTTGTAGATAGAAAGAAATAACAACACCACAGAAGAGAGGAGAATTCAAATTCAAGTAACGCTGACCAGATTTTTAGTGAAGAATCTTCCGGCAGCAGTCAAACGGAAGCTGCTCAGCGAGAAGTGACTTTTGTCCAAGGGCAAGTACCACGGTATAGGTGAGTCTTTTGCAAGATCCTTTGACCATATAACCTTCACATAGATAGAGGTTCCATAACTCAATCAAAGGACCTCCAGAAGGACATTTGCCATACAGAAGAAAAAAGAGGGAGAAGGGTTTGGGGAGGGGAGGGGAGGGAAGGTCTATGACTTGCCTCAAAACCAGCCTTTTGCAGCGCCTCGATGCACTGTGTCGTTGACCTAATGTCAGGAAGGCCATCACCAATCTCTATTTCTGCCTGTGAACACCACAATCTCCATCATCAGACAAGAGTTTTATGGTTAGGATTCGCATTAGAGATGGAGCCAATGTCTACCTTAATTTTGTTGTGTTCTTTGTTTTCTGAATTATAAGCATCCGTCATGCACCATTCATAAGCAGCAAAACACTGGCCAGGTTTCAATACTCTGTAAATCTCGCTGTAGCATCCATACTGCTCGAAACAAAAACAAACAATAAATGGAGGATGGAAGTCATAAATAAAAACAAAACGGAAGGATGAAAACTGCTATTTTGGCAAGTCGAACATCGTTGAAACGAATGGTTTCTTGTGCATACCGCATCAGGTGCATGGCAGGTGGCTTCAATTGCATACACTGCGTCGTAGCTGTTATCTGGGATTGGCATTTTCATGAAGTCAGCCTGTATGTACAACCAAGAGAGAAGAGCATTAGGATTCTCGGGGACAAATATTGTTTAGATATGAAGAGGGTAGGTAATGGAGGAAGAAACAGCAACAGACCTTAACAAAATCACATGTCTTGTCCACTCCTGCAATGCGGTTTAGTTCCTAAAAGGCAGAGGCAGCAGATTAATTCCCACTTATCAAGACAAAAAGCGTGCTGGCGAAATGACAGATGTTTTTCAAGAAAAGAAGAGGTCTGTATTCACCTTTCCTCGTGATATCTGATATTCATTGTTGTTCAACCCTGTCACTGATACTAAGCTGCAACAAAATTGCACCAAGAGCTTATAACACCCTCTAAACATGGAAGAGCCAGGAGATAAACTAAACCAGCGCATTTGCCACTAACCTGAACCTAGAAATTTCTCTCAGTGGTCCACCAATTCCACATCCAACATCCAACACCTAACGCCAATGGGGGTGAAATAAACAACCAAGACCAATTAAATGAACGAAATCGGATATTCTATGTTCCTTGCATAGTTAAGAACAGAAGAAAAAAAGCAAGGTAGGCAACCTTTTGTCCAGGTTTCAAGCCAAGTTGCAGGCCAAGGAAGTGCTCATGCCGCTTGATGCTCTCCCGAAGAGATTCACCATTGAACCTGAAATATGTGAGTTTCAGTCTTAGGCAATGAAATTATGCATGGTTGAGCATGAAGGACGGAGAATGAAGAAAAGAAATCAACCTGTGGGCAAAATGGAAAGATTCTCCCCAGCCAAACTCGTAAAAGCTAGTTGCAAGGTCATAATATTTATTAACCTGGAAGTCAAGTAATATAATATTAATAATTCAATACACAATTAACATGGCTAGATCAAGGAAACCCTTATGCTAAGAATTAGATTCACACTTTACCATGTCAGTGTAGTTAGATTTCCTGTCCTCATTAGCACCTCCATACAAGTTGTGGTACTTCTCATACCTGAACCACAAAGGCAGGGTAGCGGTTGTTAGGGGGAAAAAAAGAAAACCAAATATCTGTAATTGGTCGGTCCGGTCCAACCTAATCACAACAACCACTTGCCCATGCCCACGGCATACAAAGCTGTAAAGAGAAAAATACAAGTTCAAAGGGGACCATGAAACACAGAAACCATAGAAAGAAAACAAAGTGCACAATGGACATGGCAAGTGCTCGCTTTGCCTTCCCATTTTGACACCACAGTTACTGAAATGGTATTTCTTATATGGCCCACTCCCATCTCACCTTGGTTCACCTTTATAATCAACAATCAAGCCAACTTTTTTGCACTACAACTCTACAAGAAACCCCTCCAGGCATCCTGTAGAGACCTTTGTCAAAGTTTAGGTAGAGGAACACAGAAAGAACAAAAGCAGGTAGCCAAATCCACAGTAACAAAGTTTCCAACTGAACAGTCAAGGCCATCTCTTCTCTCAGTTACCCAAAAAGAAAAACACATGTTCTCATCAATAATATGTAGGCGAGCGAGGCCTTTGTTGTCACTACTAGACTACCAAAAAGAGTCATCAGATCTCGCACTTAACACTATCAATACCATACACACAAAGAGGCTTTACGACCAAACAATTGAAGTAAAGATGAATTGAAGTGTGATTGATTTGATGCAGAGAAAGAAAGAGATAGATAGAGGGTACTAGATCCATTTGAAAGAGACATAAGATTAAGTGGGAATGGAAGCATGTAGAGAAGTAAGTAGAACCCAATTGAATTCTTGCAAAAACAAAGTTGAGCAGAGAGCAATCATGCAATTGCAAGCTAGCATTATCACCAAGGAAGGGCAGCCGAGTGAGAAGACGGCGAATTCCTAGACAGAGAGAGAGAGAGAGGAAATTAAGAAATCCAAGTAGTATAGTATGCATTGACCGGGACCATTTCACCTTCAGTGAAGGCACGAAACTATTCATCAGATACAGAGTGACTGAACAGAGTTTGGGATCCAAAACAACAATCTGCAGTGGGACACAGACTGAAGGAATAAAATAAAGAAAGAAAGAAGCATTGTTTTGGGTTAAGCCCATCAAGTGATCAGAACTAAAAAGACCCACATTGCCCTACTGGAATAGGACCCATGCATGAAAGGAACAAATAATCAAAGAGAGAAAGGGAAGAAAGAAGACGGCATACTGCTCGACGGCGGAAAGAACTTCCTTCTTCTCGATCTTCCCACCGAGACCGGAAGCAAGATCCAATGCACCAGCTTTCGACATCTTCGTTTCCCCCGAAAAAAAAGAAAACACGCTTTTAACTTCTCCTTCCTCTGCTTTTGGATCACAGAACAAAAAAATTAATATCAGACTAAACCCAGGAGAGAGATCTCCAGAAACCCAGATTCAGAATCCAAGACACTTTCCAACTCCTCCAACAAAGAGGAGGACCTGGAAAGTGGGTGAGCGTAAAGATGCGAGCTTTTGCGTTGATTCGGATTAACAATGCAGTAATGGCAGAGTGATTGACGATGGTGATTACATGAGAAACAGAGAGAGGTATCACTATGCCGGGGAAGAGGAATCTTGTTGTGGGCAAGGAAAGTGGAGATGGCGATTGGCGAGCCTAGTGCGAGGCCGTCGGTAGTATATAGTATAATGGGAGTGCGATTTGGATGCGAATCCTTGTCTTTTTTGAACCCAGTGGAAGAGAGAGAGAGAGAGAGGGATATGCGGAATTTTGGTAGGGAACGGAAACGGACAGAGAGAGAGCGAGAGGCAAACGAAGAGAAAGAGAGGAACAGGTAGGACGGCTGGACGGACAAAAACGGAGCTGGCTAATTTGGCCCTACCTCGGAGATTTTTATTTTATTTTTCTTTAGCAAATTAGTTGTCATGCCGATAGTATTCTAGCTGGGAATAGCAACAAAACCCGAACCTACGGGTACTCACCCGACCCAATCCGGTCAACGTGGGTAAAACTCGTGTTGACGGATTTTGGACCGGGTTCGGGTTTAAACTCGCTACACTATTCATCGGGTTGGGTTTTGGTTTAGGTAAATCCGCCTCATAGATACCCGCCACACACATATAATTACTTTCCCGGTATATTTAATATTATAAATAATATATCTTCCTTAAACAATTAATATTCTTTATATTTGTGGAGACATATATAATTTGTTGTTTCTAATTGTTTAGAATGAAGTTGATATTATGAAGTGGAGAGTGAAGAAACTTAGTTGACGAGTAAGAAGCTTTCCATTAATGTTATTGTTTATAGATGTTTATCTTTAATTTTGAACAATTTGTATCGATCATTTGTGGTTTGCTTGTATGCTCTAGATTGGTGTTTTTTGTATGAATAATTTGTATGAGAAAATTAATGTTAAACTTTTATTTTGAAAGAAATTTGTTATTGTAAATTTTTTACCACAAAAACCCACGGGTACCCACGAACCCGCGGATACCCAGTGGGTTGGGTTGGGTTTGAGTTTTTCAAACCCAGCGGGTTTTACCCCGGATTTTTTTGGCGGATAAACCCATGGGTTTGGGTTTGACAAAACCCGCCCCAACCCTACCCATTGCCATCCCTAATTCTAGCCTCTGCAAGACTACAATCAGGTTTAACTATGTGTCGATTTAAAACCGACTGGAATGCTCTCGGTATGCCCGTCATGATTGATTTCGGATATTTAAATTAATTGGTGTTATTAGGATGAAATTAATTATTAAAAATTTGATTTTGATTTGTTTATTGAATTTGAAAGTTAAATGTTGATGTTATTTGCTGGATTCAGGTATGAACGTTAAGATATTTATGTTATTTATTTGATTCAAAAATTGTGGATCTTGGCATTAAATGTGTGTATTTAAATATGATGATTTTTCGTTTTGTTTTGAATTTTTCATTTTATTTAAATATCAATTTAGATTTTAGAGAGATTATATTCAAATATGTCATATATATAATTGAAAATTAGCATTATTGCGAAAACTTCTCCGACTTTCTCAGAGGATGGAATTGGCCGACTAGGGTTTTGACAATTTTTCAAGCTTAAACAATGGCGGCAACTAGCTCGTCTCTTACTCTGCCTGAGCGGGGGAAGGGAAACTCATAGAAACTGCTCGTTGGAGCCTATCGGCCACACGAAGCTACTTCATCACCGGATGGGAGGAAAGAGAGGGAGGCCATACACCCAAAAAAATAGGTCATAGCATTCAGTTTAACAAATAACAAGTACATATGACAATGGTGAGGTACTCATCGAGGATGTGACGGGTAGGGATGGCAATTTACCCACCCATGGGTAATTTTGCCCAAACCCAAGTAGACCCATTTATTATGGGCGGGTTTGGGTGATGTGTGTATGGGTTTGGGGTTTGTATATGGGTTTGGGTTAGATATGGATATTATCTAAATGGGTATGAGTTGGATATGGATATCTATTTACTTGAGGGTGTTTTAACTACACATGCAAAAATTGGACTTATTTGTAAAACTTGAAAATTTTAGGTACCAAAATGTAAGACCAAAAAAATTTAGGTACCAAAACGTAATTTTCCATCGATATTTTGAGGACTTATATGCAAAAAAAATTAAATTTAGGTACTAAATATGCATATCTATTAAGTTTAGGTACCAAACTATAATTTATATTTGGGCATGGGTACAAACCCAAATCCATTTGTTATAAACCCAACCCAAATTAAATGGGTATGGGTACAAACCCATCAAACTTTACCCATATCCATATATTTGGATTTCATACCCAACCCAATTGGGTTGGATAGTAAAATACCCATGGGTATGGGCAAAATTGCCATCCCTAGTGACGGGGGAGGAAAATCTGCAGCAAGATCCGCGGTCCAACACACAAAAAATAACAATCTCCGAAGACCATGACATGGAGTGAGGGGAAGAAAAAGCTTTTCGGTGAGGTGGTAAAGACAACCGACTGATACGTAGAGGAATAGACTCTGAGGATGTAATTGAAGCAATGAGAGAGGACGACAAGTATGAACCTATCCTGGACAATGATCTTTGATACTCAACTATTATGTTTTCAGTGGCGGAGTTAAGAGAACTCCGTCAAGAATGGTGATCGGCATTAGTGGTCAAAGTTCGCGGAAGGTCTTTCCCGTATCCAGCGATAGCGAAACGGTTGAACATGATGTTGGCTAAGTTTGCTACCACCAGATTACAAAAAAATCCCATGGATATTACTTCGTCCGGTTCACAAACAAAACAAATTACGAATGTGCCCTTACAGGGGGGCCCGGGATGATTGGGAATCACTATCTCACTATGCAAAAGTGGAAGAAAGTATTCAATACGAAAACTTATGGAATAAAGTCAACATTGGTGTGGATGCGACTCCCTAAATTGCCAATAGAGTTTTTTTCATCCATATATATATCATGTTAAGGATAGTAAAGAGGGTGGGGGTTCCAATAAGTTTTGATGGTGCTATGGAATTGAGTGCATATGGGAAAATATGCACGAGTTTACCTTGAGGTTGATCTCACCAAATTTTTACTATTTCAGTTCAAGATCGAGGGCGTAGAGTATGACATTAGTTGTGAAGGCATAACCAATATCTTCTTAGAATGCGACACTTATATGGGCACTCCAAAGTAAATTGTCTCATGATACATAAGTCGTCGAATGTTGAAGAAGAGTCAACTCGAAAAAGTACAACTCCTAAGCGAACAATGTCATACGGAGAGTGGATGGTGGCAAAGCGCCGCGAGAGGCAACCCAGCAGTAGAATGAACCAACTCGCTGGAGCTTATACTAATAATGATGAAGTTAGGGGCACAAGGATGAGCGGTTCCAGGTTTCTGGTCTTAGAAGAGGCTAACAATATTATCACTGTGTGGCAAAATGGATCAAGAGAACATCAGCTACCTATACCATTTAAAGGAGCAAAGATCAGCAAGTGATTCATTCCCACGGAGCAGAGGGCGAACCAAAGAAAAAGAAAGCTCCATGCCGACTAACGAGGCCAACCCAATTGGCCAATTCAACAATGGGTCGAGAAGCAGCAAAGGATGACGACAATCCTACAGTCGCAGTAATTTATAAGCAATGGTACGTATACATAACTTGAGTCTATTTTCAAGTAGTGATGAGATGAGGCAACATGAAGACAACAAAAATCATCATTCCATGCAACAGCCTTTGTCAGCGAGAAGCAAAAGGAGGGGTGCATGTAAACTCGTGTGGCGGCGATCAAGTTGAGAAGCCAGACAAGAGTGTGTAAAACCAAACAAACAAACAAAATAATTTTGGTGTCGTTTGAAAGTTGAGATTCTTCAAATATGTGTATTTATGAATACATGTATTGTAAATATAAATATTGTAAGATTAGATGATTGGAAGAATGTCTTGTTTGTTTATAGCCATTCAAAAATTTTAAAGAAAAAAAAAAAGGATTAATTGCATGGTTGGTCACTGAGATTACAAAAACCGTTCAAGTTTGGTCACTAGAAATATTTAAATTCATTGGTGGTACTTCAGTTTACTGAAACCGTTCATGTTTGGTCACTCTCCGTCCAACTCCGTTAACTTTTGCTGATGTGGCAGTCAACTCTAAAAGTTGACCGTTAACTTAGTGACGTGGCAACTAAAAAAGTATTAAAAATAAAAAAAATAAATTTGTATATTTTCCACCTCATTATTACATTCATTAAAAAAATAAAAAAACCTAATTTTTTTATTTTTTAGAAAACGAGACTTGCGGGAAGCAAACTACGATCCTCCTGTCGCCGCCATCGCGGACGACGTTGCGGAGGGCTTCCACGACGAAGAACGCGGCGGCGCTGTCCAGCCCCGTCGTGGCCTCGTCCAGGCAGAGCACCCGTGTAGACCAGCAGGCTTTCGGGTCCTTCAATACTGCAACCGAGCAGATTAACGAGGTTCTTGTGTTGAATTCCGCTGATCAAATTCACCTCGTTAAAGAACTCCTCCACCCATTGGCTTGTGTTGAAGATCAGCCGCTTCACTGCCACGGTTTGGTTATTGGGAAGAGATCCAATGAAAACTGTGCCAGCTCCTCCTTGGCCTAGCTTCTTCGACAAGCTGAAGTAATCAGTGGCTTTTTCTAAAGTTTCATACTTGAAGTCTATGCTTAACCTATTGAAGCTTATCGATACCTTGCCCAGATTTCTGCGTGCTGTGACAATTTCTAGTAAGTGGGGGAGCTAAAAAATGGAGTAGCTCTTCTAGTTTGTGGAGATGGTTTTTGGGTATATACCTTGTTTAGCCTTTAGGCGTTTGAGATGGACAGCGTATGCTGCGAAGAGTGTGAGCATGGCGAATGCTGCTGATGCTAAGGCAATCGCCATTATCACTCCCAGTGTTGAATCCCCTGAAAATTCAGAACAGAGCCGTGGCAACTCAAAATCAATGCTCAATTTTGCAAGAAACCCTAATTAAGTTATTCAAGATCGTTTCCCCCTTCTTCCTGTTTCTTTTCCGTCGCTTTCCCTCTGATTTCTCAGCAAACAAACAAAACCTAGAAAATTATATATAAATTTTCAAAAACAAAGACTCAAAGAGTCCGAAATTACCGCGACGATGCACTCTAACACCTCCGTCGCCGTAGAATTTATGATCAGAGTACTTCAAATAGCAACCGGCATTCAGCGCTCTCCCTTCCCTCCTCGGCAGACATCTTCCAACCACCGCGGCGGCGGCTTTACCCAAACACTCCCAGAAACCATCTCTCCCGACGCTCTCCCAGCACTGCGC